GGCAAAAAGATTGCTGTGTGCTCTCTAGAGCCCTTTCAGATGGTCTGATTCTACAAGATTCCTTGCCTTTCTGAATCTTTGACGAAAGCGTTGTACAATTCTGTAAATGGTGGAAAACCAATAGTAATACAAATGATTGTGAATGATTCTTGTCCATAGAGGTGCAATTGACGTCTGCCTTGGAAGAAACCATTTTTGCATCTATCAGCAAAGTCATTTCTGCATTTGATTAGCTGCATTTGATAAGCCTGTTCTTTGGATTCTCTTGTGAGCCCATTTCTTTACTCCTGCAGTTTCATTCAATGAAGGAGTTAGAACAAGATCTCTGACACATTTTCATTTTGTATTTGAACAATGATCTTATTTTTATCCCCCATTGTCCTTTAACATACCTCATCTCTTTTTATCTTGGCTACCCAGAAACACAATAGCAAAATTTTAAACCCACATGCAAGGTGTTGATTCACCAAGAATTTAACAGGATATAATGGAGAGCTGCTCCAAACACCTGGGAGGCAGCTGTAAAGCAATGAAAATTGCAGCAGCCCTCAGCTTCCCCCCATTTCCCTCCCTTTCCCACTCAAGCTTCCACAGGAGGCCAAAGGCAGGGCCCTCTGACATTACTACAGGATGCAGCCACTCTGGCCCTGCAGTGGAGGGAGGCAAGTGCCTCATGCTGATCAGAGGCTCATCTGGGTCTGACATTCAGGGTCACATCCTGGTCACACTTCCTCCCCACACCAGACACAACCACTTCCTCTTTCTGCTGAGGACAGAAGTTGAATGACAGATGAGTTCTTAGGGTGTTGTAACACCCAGGAACATGAGGGTAAGTAATGGAGGAGTGTTCATTGCAGGGAGTCGCCCGAGCAGTTCCATCTGAACACATGCTGGTGTTGGAGAGGAAACATTTTCTTCTGACCTCTAAAGTTTCTTTTGGCTGGTCTAAGAATTAACGTGGGACAGATTAGCAGGAGACAATCAAATTTTTGAACATATAGGAACCCCACATCCATGAGAGATTCAAAGACAGAAAGATAAAATGAATATGCCATCCTGAGCAAGGAGGGCAATTCACAGGGCAACAAGAGCAGGTGCTTGATAATTAGATGTTTGCCTGGCCATATAGATGGTCATGCAGGCAAAATTCATCTCTGGTTAAAAACTCTTATTTTAGGAAAGTACCCCAATTTAGATTTCTTCTAGGTTAGGTAAAGGGCACAATTTCTCTTGAGCCCACTGTGTCTCCATTGACCTCAGCTCAAAACAGTCCACCTGCCAAAGTGGGAGGGAGACTTCTTCTGAACCCCTTCGCCCATACTAGGTGTCATGTAAATCCTTATATTAACCCTGACATCGACAACTCCCCCATGTGAAATAGGATGCAAAGCAGGAGGAAGTGTTAGGGGAGCGCTGTGTATTTTCCTTGGTCCTTGTCCCTGCTGAAACAAAGAATTGAAGGGCAGAGTCACAGTAGTAAAGCAGAGTAAAAGTTTTATTTTAAGTTACTTAAAGAGAGAAAACCTCAGGGAGAGGAGGCACCCTGAAAGGTTTGTTTTATTTAAAGAGAGAAAGTGCACACTCGGAGAAAGGGGAGTGTGAGCTACCTCATAGAAGAGGCACTGAAAGATTGGGAAGGTTTTATTGAAGTTATGCACTTAGAGTACAGGTGACTTCAGAGAGGGGTACACACTGAAAAATTTAGAGTCTGGGGTTTTATAGGTGTTTGAGGATTTTCAGGAAGATGACAGAGGGCCAGGTGCAGACCTGTCAAATGGTCCCAGAATGTTAATCTTTGCTAAGACATTAAGTTTCTTCTTTTAACTTAACACAAGAAATTTTCTGCTTTGATTCCTTTCCAGGATGTCAGTTTCTGTCTAGCAACATATCAATCAAGACTGTCTGCCCTGCCTCCAAGGTGGACTGAGCCACTGTCTGTTTGATTAAAATGCAATCTTAGCTTTAAGATAGAATTCTTCCTGAATAGCTGGGCCTTTGAGCAGGCAAGAGTAAATCCTACAACGGTATGTTCTAATTGACACAGTGACCACATAGGCTATGCTGAGATACTTTTATCTGGGGAGTATTTGACATTCTAGATCAAGTTGCTCCTGGCCTTCTGAGCTTTCTATTTTTAACTGGTTAACTCTTTGAGTCCCTTCTAGTGGGCTTTACTGGCCTTATTCTTATTCCACCCCACTCATATCTCTTTTCCTGCCTAACAGAGAAGCCTCTTCAGTCAGCGGCAGAGCTGAGGGAGGATGTTGTCAGGCAGCTGTGTCTGGGTAGGTCCCTCTCTGTGCATTAGGTAAAACTTGGACAGGGGAGGGTTCTTGATTCTGAACGAGAAATAACTCTCCAGCAGATTGGAGAACTGTAGGTAAGGAAGGAATTCATTAAAGTGAGAGTAGTGGGGAATGGCAGCTGCCTTGCAAGCAGCAGAGAGCAAGGAAAAACAGGGAGAAAAGGGAAGCTCACTGAACTCCTGCTCTGCATAGGGCAGATCCCTTGCCAAGTCCTGAAGCCAGGGTCACTGAGTGTCCAGTATCTGCTTGAATTTGCACAGCACAGAGACTAAGCCCCTTCCACCCCAGGATTTGGGGGAGCCGCAGAGCACTGGACAGAGTGAGATTATGTTCTGAGAACTTCTCAAAGGCAAAGGAGATTTTCATGCAGACTACTTAAGTGTGTGATCATATAGTCGCAGTCCTGGCCAGGTCACTCAGGTGATGGGAACTTGCAAACCCACATCAGAGATCTCACTAGCCCTTCCCTACTTGTCTGAAGTAGAATGGAGAGAGTGAACATTTGTGCTTAAGTCTAGAAAACTGAATGGAATAACAAAGTAACAAAGACATCCACCACTGGCAGGGTGCAAAGACAAAACACAGCAAGTTGAATGATGAGAAGTCTTTATTTAAGGCAAAAAGTACACACTCAAAGAAAGGGGAGTGCAGGCAACCTCAGAGAGGAGGTATACTTAAGGGCTTAGGATTTTGTCTTTTAAGGCTTTCAAGAATGGGTCAAAGGGCAGCGGGGGACCAGTGTGTAAGCCTGACATGTAGTCTCATATCTCTCTTGTGAGAGACATGTCACCATCAATAGTCTTCTAGATAATTTTGTAAGAAACTTAACACAAGGAATTTATTGATCCTGTTCTTCCCCAAGACAGTGGTTTCCCTCAAGCAGTGGGAACATAGCAGGACTGCTTGTCCTGCCTTCAGATAGGTTATTGTATGATTACCAAAGGATCTGTTAGGAATCTTACCTCCAAACTCCCTGGTTTTTAAAATGGAATCTGAGCCTTAAGATGAAATCCCTCCTGTTCTTACTATACTATTTGTATCTTAGCATTTTTCATCAAAGGCAGGAAATATTCATTATGTTGCTTGTCCTGTCCTTGCCCCACTTCAAGCTGGGCCCCACAGCCCTGCTACATGACCCAGGACCCCACTGAGCACTCACCTCAGTGCCCAGACTGTCCTGTTGGTCCCATCTTACAGATGAGGTGACCTGGCAAGGCAGCCGAGGCAGGAAGCCAGGCTGGCTTTCCCTCAGCCTCCAGGCCATGTTCTCTGCTGCTCTGTTGGTCTTCTTGATAGGGATGGTCCATTCATGCACTCAGAACTCCTTTGCATATTATCACTGGCCTTGTGAGGCCTCCCTCTCCACCCCCTGCCCCTTTTACTGGACATCAAAGCCCGCTAGTTCTTTTAGGATTTGCTCTGGGATCACCACCTCCAGGAAGCCCACCTCCTGTACCCCCATCCTTACTCCCTTAGGCAACACTTCATGACCTTGCTTGGAGAGCATGATTCCTTCTTGATGCAAACCCCTGGTCCAGTGTACTTTAACACACAGAAATCATCTGGAGATTGTTAAGATACTGATTCTTAGGTCTGGGGTGGGTGCCTTTCAAATCCCTGGGTGATACCAACAGTGTTTGCTGAACACACCTGGAGTGGCAACAACATATATCAAGGGGCTTCTTGTTCTCAGTAGACCCAGAATCATAAACCCTTTCTCTGAAGGTACTCTACGGTACCCTTCAACACTTGTGAGCCCTGCCCTCAGCCAGACCCCCCACCCACAGGTCAAAGAGATGGAGCCACTCTAGATGTAGTATTTAAGTCAATTTATACTCAACCCTGCCCAGCAGGCACCAACTCCATTGTGCCCACAAGGACCCTGAGGCTCACAGCAGGTAGCTGGCAAAGCTGGCATTCCACATGAGGGCAGCCTTCCCTGAGAATGAGTCAGGTCTGGAGTGAGGCAGGAGCCAGCAGAGGGTCAGCCCACTGTGAGGCTCACAGCAGAGGGAACATAACCACCTCTCCTGGAGAGGGGGCCACAGCTCCTTGGGGATCCCCGAAGTGCCATGCCCTTGCTGGGCACTCCCAGGAGCTGTGGCAGGAAGACAGCCTGTGTTGGGGAGGCAGGAGGCAGCTCCACTGAGTATCAGGAAGCCCAGAGCAGGTCCCAGCCCTCTGGAGGCACCCACCATGGAGCTAGTGACTTGGCCACGGCACGCTCTCTCACACTCCTCTGCAGGGGCTTAGAGCCCCAGCCGACCACTGCCCTGCACCCTGTCCTCTCTGACCTTCATGCCTCTAGCCTGCTGCCCCTGGGGCAAAGGACTGGAAGCATGCCCTACCACTGAACTAGATCCAGGGGCCCAGATGCACAAGACCCTTTGCTAGCCCAGAAGTGGCGCTGGCAGGGCCCACCCCCCGTTGTCCCCAGCAACTTGCATCTTGGCTTCCCTGGAGACATGGGTTTACAGCTGCCCCAGGAAGAGGAGCCATGGCCCATGGGAAGACACATCGCCCAAAGCCAGGAAAATGCAGTCTTTCCTTCATGAATCGGCCTGGCCTCTCACTGTGGGAACAAGCCAACTCACTAGAGGCAACACTACTTGCAGGCTGGTGCTACTGGAGCCCATGGCCCTGCTGTGCACCCTCCATCCCCAAATCACCTGAATCTGTAGTCACTGTGCTTCATGCAGGAAGTCACTTTATTAGGAAGCAGACACAGGGTACATTGGGGAGTGGGAAGCAGTGCGCTGCCTCCTGGCAAGAGCCAGGACAACAGTAGCCAGAGTCAGGGTGACCCCTGTGACCAGGCCCAAGCCTAGCATCACAGAAGTGACAGATGAGACCGAGCTTCCCATGCTCTGGTCACCAGCCTGGCCCAGGAAGATCAGCGGCCCCATGGTGACATATGCTTCTTCTGTCACTGAAAAAAGACACCCAGGGTCACTTTAGTCCCTAACCAGGGATCAGATTAGGGGTTTTGCTCTGCATCCAGGGGCTGAACTAGGTTTTGTGCTAACAGCTGCATTATCCCCCATACTTCTGATTACATCTATTCAGAACCCCCCACGACAGTAGAGCTACCCTGGCTGACACCCAGAGGGGTGCTTAGAAACTCCCACTTAGCCCAAAACTGCATTCCCCTAGGAGCAAGTAGCCTAAACTAGGGGATGAAGGAAGAGTGTCCCCCAGAAGTGACAGCAGTTAAGACCTACCATGCCTACGACTGCGGGTAGCAGGCTTGTGCCACTTTCTCACTAGTGGGGACAGACTCCTGGTATGGCCTGGAATGCCACAGCTCCCCTTGTGACAGCATTGACAGATGTCAGCAGTGCCTTCCACAGGGGACCAGCTGAGAGAGACACAAGAGCATCAGATGGCCATGTTGCCCGCAGAAGGCACTGATAACATGCACATTGGAGACCGAGTGGACACCAGGGCCCCATCTGGTCGCTCACCTGTTGGAGGACTTGCTGAAGGAACAGGCTTTGTTTAGTTGGTCCGGGACTCGATCAGCCGGAGTGACCTTCAGATGGCAGGTGATATATACCTGGAAGTAAGAGCAGATTACCATGTAGAGTTCTTGGCTGTGCCAGTGATTTTCACACACCATTTCTTACATAACCTTAACCCTTTGGGGATGCCCCATTTTAGAGATTGGGACAATAGAGGGTCACAGGTTGACTTGCTTAAAACTTGGATTGGAACACATTATCGCCCAGTCTTTCTCAAACTTGTCCAGTCACTTAGCATCCTGCCCCCTGTAGAAGGGAGGATTTTGACAAACCCAGGGCTCAGGTCTGCCCTGGTCCTCTTGGCAGAGGCATCCCCTGCCAGAAGTGACCCTCTGACTCTAGGGAGTGCTCCCAACACTGCAAGGCCTTGAAGTTCTACCACCTTCCCTCTGCAGAGCGACAAACCTTGTCCACCACCTAGTGGTTGAGTACCAGCAGGGAGGACATTTCAGAAACTTGAACAAGCCAGGAAGCTCCTCTGGCCTCCTTCCTTCTGTCTGCCCCACCAGAGAAGGGCTTCTGTGTCCTTTAGAATCCCTGGTTTTAGGAAGGGAACCACTTTTATCCTCAGCTTCCCCATACATTTTTCTGATGCTAACTGGGGCCTACATCCCAGGGTGGTTTTAGTAGCTCTGGATTAAGAGTTTCCTTCTCCTTTGTGCCATGGCCATGGTCAACCTAGCCAACCCCTCCCTTTGAGGGAGAACCCTCCCAGAACTGAGGCTACCTTCCATTGATCTGCATGTCCTCTGGTCTCTGTTATCCATCCCCCACCCAAGTCCCTGGAGATACAGATGCCAACTCAGGTTTCACTCATGCTGATGACCACCATCCCTGTGAGACCTTATCCCCTTATTCCTTCCCACTGGACTGCCTAATATCAACATCAACTCCCTACCCTAACTGGGATCCTCTGCCCTAAGACCTAGAGGGTCCAGGGATCAGGACCCTTTCTCTGTCTTCCTCATTTCCAGCCCCATTCAACCTGGGACCGGCCATCAGAAGCTTTAGGACAGGTAGCAGGAGGGACATGGATTAGAGCTGTCTACCCATCTGTATCAAACTACTGTTCTCTGAACAGAACGATTGGTCAAAGTGAGGTAACATCAATGGACTCTCCTAAAAATTCACACTGCTCACCCTTTAATGCCATCCTACCCTAGGAGGCTCTGGGTCAGTGTTTTGCAAACCTAGCTGCTTATTAGTCACCTAGAAGCTTAAAGCTTCTGATTAATTGCCAAGTAAAACAAGATAGACTAGTGGATGGGTGGTGGAATATGATATTAGGGGGAGAACCTAGGTTGTAGGTACATAGGTGGTTGCTATAAAAATTCAGTTTTACATGAAGACTAATAAAATGTTGGGAAAAAGTGATGTCAGGCCTCACCCCAATTAAGTGAAAATATAGGATTATATGCAAGTATCAATATTTTTATGGCTTTTCCAGGTGACTAAGAGCCAGAGTTGAAAAATCCCTTCTTTAGTCACTTCTCCTTCCTGACCAGCTATTCCAAACTTCACATCCCCACTCCTGTGCTGGGAAACTTCTTTAGAAGCTGCTTGATTTTTAGTTGTAAGATTTAACCAGTCTTTTCTGGCTAGAAGCCAGTCTTTCTACCTATGCTTCCTGCCCCACCTGCCCAGGCCTCCACCACCAGGAGTGGTCTATACCCTAGCTCCCTCCCCCTCTACCGCCCTTAGCTTCAAGTTGGGGTTTTTAGCTTAGGAGTTCAGGGGGTGGCCCCCAGAGCAGCAACACCAACAGTACCTGGAGGCTTGTGAGAAATGCAGATTCTAGGCTCCACTCTGGACCTACAGAACCAAACCCTGGGGGTGGGGCCCACAGTCTATATCAACAGGAAATCTGAGTGCATCAGCATCATAAGGAATCACCAGTCTAGCCTACAGTCAAGTTTGAGAGGCTACCCTATGTGAAATGAAGTTCATACACACTTTCCTTACCCTTCTAGAAACCTCCAGGAAGGCCAACACTCACTTTTATCAACTCCTTTACTCAACCCAACATCGGCTTCTGGCTCTGCTACCCCTGGCAGGGACAAGATGAATGACCTGGTCACCAAAAGTTGTGGCTGTTGGTCATCTTTGAGACATTGGCTAAGTCTCCTGGGTTCCTATTCTTCTAGTTGGTTCTATTTCTAGGACCCCTGGTTCTCTCTCCATCCTTCACAGGTTTTCTACTTATCTCCTAAGGGTCTGTGTTGATCCTGCCTTCTCCTTGAAGATCTCACTAGAGCCCATGGCTTTATCTACTTGATAAGTTGGTGGCGTTTGAGACAGGGGCAAGCTATCGAGTTGTTGCTTAAGGGGACAGCTAGTGAGTGACAGCAGCAGACAGTAAGCCTTCTCTGCCCAAGCCTGCAGTTTCGTCTGATACCAAGCCATTAAAAAAGCTATTACCGTGTTTCTGGAGTCATTTGCAAAATGGAACACATCTACTGTGAACTGGAGAGTCTCTGGCCGGGGTCTGGGGGCTTTGAAGGCAGAAGAAGCATCAGAGAGACCATCCACAAGACAACTTTGAATAGAACAAGTGAAGAATGGAGTTAGAGGCCAGGGAAGGTGGCAAAGTTCATGTTGTTACAAGGATTGCCTGGAAAGGCAGGGCAGCCCTCACCCGTGGAAGTCCACAATGCTGTGATAAGGGGAAGTGTTACGGTCTGGTGTCAGTGTGGCCACACAGTGGTCCACGAATAGTCGCAGTGGCACATGGCTGCCAGTGTGGACTTCGGCCTGCAGGTGGGCTGTATCTCCCAGCTGAAAGGTGGGGGACCTCTTCTCAGCAACCCAGTTCTCTGAAAGGCATACAGTGATCAGAAACAGCTAGAACTCTCCACCAGCCCCCCACCAGCCCTCTTTCCTCACCATCCATCAGGCGTAGAGAGAAAACCAGCTTCTCCTCCGAGAACACTGTGCTCTTGAAGGGTACCCAGGTGGGCAGGATGGCCTGGCTGCTCACATTGCCCTGCCTGGGAGAAGAGCAGCAGCTGCTCACACCAGCCTGGGGCTCACTGCATCTGGCTCCAGAGTGGGCAGAGTCCTCAGCTGTGGCCCTAGGCAGCTGCTAGTCCCTGACGGCTGACAGGCCCCTGAAGCCTGAGCCTGCCCCCAGCGCTGCTAGCCCCCACACCTGTGAGCAGGCCCCACCCCATCAGCTGTGACAGACCTCCAGGCTGCAGCATGAGACAATACACCTGAATTAAGAGTTTGGTTTCTAGATCCCCATCTGCTCCTTATCAAGGTTATTCCTGGGGGCTCAGGCTTGGGGCCTGAGGGTGCAGCCCCTCTGCACCCCTCAGGGTTCTTGAGAGTCCTAGCAAATGCAGGCCTCTGGAGGTAAGTGCGGATAGGCCTCTGGTTCTCCAGGAGCCACTGAGACAGCCCAGGCCTATACTGGAACAGGAAGGTCCTTGGAAGCAGCCAGGCACCCCCAGGTGTCTGCACTGCTGATCCCCCAGGGCCATGTGGAAGAAACTGCTCCTAGAGTGGTGCTGCTATGAGGCCAGAGCTCAGGTCCCTGGGGCCAGGATAAAGCACTGTAGCTAGGGGCAGCCACCCTGCAAGGTGCACAGCTGACAGGCCCAGTGAGCCAACTGTTAATGTGTGTATGCAATTTAACTAGTAGTTTGTTAAAACCTATATATATATATTCAAGTTATGTCTGTCTTTCGACATGTTCGATCTCAGCCATGTAATGCATATTTCACCCAAAACTGAGATACCATATAATCCACAAGGCCAAAGCATTGTAGAATGTGCCCATGGCACCCTTAAAGCTCAATTAGAAAAAAAAAAGGGGGGGGGGAGTTATACCCCCGGTCACCACAGAACCATTTAAATCATATTTGCAGCCAAAACCACATCTGATATATTAAATCAGATAATACATGTTCAAAGAACCCCTGAATAGTCTCTGGCACAGTCACACCTCTCTTAACCCTAAGCATTTTATGTCTTCTATTGCTGTTACTAGGGCCTTGTGTCCTTTGCAGCATGTGGAAACTCATCCAACAAGCCTTAAGAGACCTGCATCATTTGAAATTGCAGACGGCCCCCCCACTTGTAAATCATAAGTTCTAAAGTCAAGTATGGTAGCCAATGACGGGTAAGATATGGTTGAATTGTAAATACCAACCTAAGACAGGGAGTGGTTGACAGAGGACTATAGCCCCATGACAGGTAAGGATTTACTTCAACCATACAACCTAAGACAGGCACATACCTTGACCCAGTCTGGGTTAGGCTGGTTGTTTTACTAAAGAAAAAAAGGGGGAGATGTTGGGGACGGCCTTTGTCTTCTCACATGTTTGCAGGCAGAATGGGAAAGCATCTTCCATGTCTGAACACAGCATAGGAAAGCACAAGCTTGAGAGCAACCGGTACAGTCCTTGGAAGTTATCTGCCCACAAAAACATATCTTGTCCTCAAAGACAAGCCAAGACTCCTCACTCTGAAAATAGGGTGACCTTGAGAATGTGTGAAAACACCTCCCCTGCTTCTGGCCTGCCCCCCCCCTCCCCGAGAAGGGAAAGATGAGTATAGCACTTGGCTGAGGTCCGAGAAAGGCAGTATAAAAAAGGTGCTGCACCACATCGGGGCTGCAGCCATTGTCTGTCTGTGTTGTCTGTGTTCTTTGTTCTCTCCTTTCACCTAAAGAAGATGAGCAGCACGTTACATCTGGCGCCCAACGTGGGGCGTCCTCTCAGAGTGAGGTTAGAGATAGATTAGAGCTTGCTTGCTTATGCTGTAATAAAGAGCTTGAGTGAACTATCAGTCCCAGCCTGCCTCCTGTCCAACCCTCATGCTGCTGGACGGCACAAGGAGAAGAAATTCTAATGATATGTTCCAGGGGCCCTCTGGAAAATATCACCAACGTTCTCAGGTCAGTCCCAGGCAGGGGTTCTGAAGTGAGAAACGGCTGTGGTCCCAGGAAGGCTTTGGCCTCTGACCAATAAGAGAGCAGCTGGGCTTTCTGCCCTTGGCTCCTACGCCTGCCACTCCACGTGGTCAGGCCCAAGCTCCTCAGTGCTCAGCTGGGCCCTAAGCCCCTGCTGCTACATCTCAGCCCCGTGTCCCAGACCCTCTCACCAACTGCCATCCACCTGCTATATCAGCTACCGGTGACCTTCCAGGCTGAACAGCAGGCCTCATGCATTCTGCAGGACTCTCAGGAGGGGCATGGGCTCAGGTAAGCCTGAATGCTTTTACTGGGCCTATTGGGCTCTGAGAACCTGTCTGTCGCTCTCACCTTCCCAACTTTTGATGAGACCCTGGGCTCCAGCCCCTACTGGTGACATGCCCTCCCCTTTGGGGAGCAGAGGGCTCTGCCCAGACTGTCTCAGGCCCCTCCCAGGGTCTTGCTCTGGGAAACTCTACCTTGACCCACGCTAACCTGGGGTAGTGGCACTTGATGGGAATCTTGGCGAGGTTAGTCCTCAGGATGGACAGGTTCCTCTCAGGGTGGGGCTTGTGGAGCAGGAATGTGCTGTACACCAGGGCATCATCGGTCACCTGAAGGAAAGGGGTGGGTTAACCCTACAAGCATCACCTGTCCTAGGTGTGCCCAACCCATGCTGGTTGAAGGGGGAGGGTAGAGAAAACACAGACTCTGGACTCAAAGCCCACCTGGCTGTTGGCCTATGGAGAGCCTGACAGGTGCCACCCTCGCCAGTGTTTTATCCCCAAAAGGACACCACCACCAGAGGGTGTGGATCAGCTCTGCAGCAAGCAGTGCTCAGTGACCAGAGGCGCTGGGCATGGGCTCTGCAACTCAGGCTACCACAACCACCCCACTCTCACACTTGGTTTCCTTTTTCAGGGGCATGGGGCCAAGAAAGCCAGGCAGTTCCAGGAACTTGAACTCATTGTCACAACAGTTAACACTAGAGTTGTCCTCTCTCTTCTGACCTATTCTCAAGCCCATTTCACAGAAGGAGAAGCTGGTTCAGTGGTTTCCCGAGGCTGGAAGAGCCCAGGTAATGTGCAGCTTTTGATAGGCTGCACAGAGGCTGCTAGGGCCCAAGTGGCTGCTGGCCCCACCTGATCCACTCGGTCTTCAGGAACAGTCCTAGCTTTCTGCTAGCAAGCACCCCAGGTGGACCATCTCTGTAATTTGTGGGACCCAGTACAAAGTGAAAATGTGGGGCCCTTGTTCAAAAGTCAGGAATTCAGGACAGCCAGCACTAAGTCAAGTGTGGGCCCTGTGGGACTGCATTCCCAGGAGCCAGCCCTGGCCCCAAGTGATCCTCATCTGGCAAGGCTGGGAACCCGCACTGGAGGAGGAGGGACCAGGCTGTGCTCCACACTGGACTCACCTGGGGATCTGAAAATTACTGACACCTGTTCCCACTTTCATTCTCATTTAGGATGGGAGATAGGATTTTCCCTAGGTGATTCTAATGCCCAAGATTTGGGAGTCGCTAGACTAGAATAATTCTGTTAGTAACTCCTAGGACTCTCTGGTCTGCCTCCCCTCTCACCAGAGAAACAAGGGTCAGGAGACCTCAAGCCCTGGGGCTTCCCCTTAAGGCCACAGCTCCAGGTGGAGGCTCCAGGGGCTGCACCAAGGGTACCCCAGACTAGCCAGGGATCCTGCACCCTGCCCAGTCCTTCCTTGCCTTGCTGGCAGGCCCATTCTTGTAGACTGATATCCGTGTCCCCACTGCTGACTTGCGGAAGGAGGTGTGGCCTGAGTCACTCAGCTCTCTTGTCGCATAGCCTCCCATGTGGGACTGACTCCCAGATGCCTGGTTTGAGCCTTAAGGTCTTCAACACAGAAGAGATAATACCCTTTGTCCCTTCCTTCAATGCCACCTTTAATTTGAGGCTTCAAGCCATTAGACATGAGAGAGTTAGGCCAAAATTTAAGTTTTTGGATTACCTCTGGGCTTTCTGAGGTGTCAACATTGACCTCTTCCAAACAAGTTTCTGGGGCCCCAGCAAGTGCTGGGCTACCCACAGGGTTATCCTAACATACCCCACACCTGGGCCACGTCTCTCCTGGATGCTCTCGAGAGCTTCATAAACCCTCAGGAATCAAGTGGAGTACCCAGTCTGACCCACAGTACACTGCCACCTGTGGACTCTGCCCTACTTACCCGATTTTAGCAGCTAGAGGGAGACCTTCCCCCCTCCACACCCCATGTCACCAGTGCCCAGCTCCCAGCCTTAGCTGCTCCTCCCTGCCCCCCAACCAGGGAAAGGGAGCTGCCTTCACCCACCTGGAGCTGGCTCTGCAGCACCCCCACCATGCCCCCCACTGAAACCAGCCCTGTGGCCCCAGCCTCACCTGCATGCTGCTGCCACACTTATGCAATCCGACCTCAAACCTGACCACATTGTCCTGGTCCAGGGGCTCACAGTTCTCAGGGCCGAGGGTGAGGTCTGCAGGCCTGACGAGCTTCCCAGTGCCAAAAAGGTCCTTGTTCACAGTGACCACCAGCTGGGCCTCCAGGCACTCCACCACCACAGGCGCCTTAGAGGGCCTGGGACTGGGGGTCTCACTCCTCCAGGTGGTCTGGGAGTAGCATAGCTCCATACCTCCCCAGAGCAGAAAGCAGACAAAAAGCCTGTGACACAGGATCATGGTGCCCACAAAGTCACTCCCACTGGTAACTGCTAGGTAACCACCACCAGCCCTCTTATATCCTAGATGATGGCCATGCCCACCTGGGCTCCCACCTGCCTCCCTTCCCCAGCCAATCCAGTCAACTAGGCCCTAGCTGCTCGAAGTGGCCCCTGGCCCAGCAGCATTGGCATCACCTGGGAGCCTGATAGAGCTGCAAACTCAGCCCCACCCTAGGCCAATCTTCTGGTTTGTCAGAACCTGGTTTTCCACTGTCTCCCCATATGATCTGTATTCATGTTAAGGTTTGACAAGTGTGGGCTGGCACCTGGTCAATCATAATCTCTCACCCCCTCCTTATGCCCACCCAACCTCACAGCCCAGTGAGGGAGCTGAGGGCCATCCCAGGTCAATGGGGGAGACCAGGAGAAAGGCCTTGACTGAAGGGTGAGGAGTGTTTTGTCAGAGGTGGTAGGGAGCTCATTCCAAGTGGAGTACAGGAGGCGGTGTCATCAGGAGGCCAGGGAATTTCCCTGGCTGCTGCCCAATTTTGGGGGAGATAAGAGGGGAGGTCGCTCAGGCAGAGGCAGCTGTACAAACAGATATGTAGAGAGGGCACTGGGTGAGCTTGGGGGTGAAACTCAGGGGCTCAGAGTTGCTGGTGTCTCAGGTCATGGGGGTGCAGGGCAAGAGTGGCAGTTCAGGGGGCTGGGGAGTTGGAAGGAATAGGATCATGAAGGTACCCCGCTGAGAGGCTGAATTTTGCTCTGCAGGCAAGGGAAGCCACAGAAGGGTGCTGAAGGAGGTGAGTGACCTGGCTAGCTCTGGTTGGGAAGGGGTAGGACTAGAGACAAGGGTCAGGAGGCTACTGTCCCGGTCCTGGCAGGAGAGGGTGAAGGACTGCCATGTCAACATTTACTGGTGGTCTGTTCTGCCAGGCCTGTGTGAGACTCCTTCAAGAGAGGAGGAAACTACAAAAATGAATGGCACTTAACTCCTAGGGGCAGTAGTGTAGACTCACTTGCAAATGCTTGCTTCCAAAGCAAGTGAACCACAGATTTAAGTTACCTAATCTGTCCGTGGGTTCTTTTTGCTGCGTGTGTGTGTGTGTTGGGGGTGGTGTTGATACTCCAGTTTACTTGTGGAGGGAAGAAATTAACCCCACAACTTCTTTGATTTGGGGGTAGTGGGTAGAGGCAGCCAGCAGAGAGAAGCAGGTGAGAGCCTAGAGCTCAGGCTCCAAGCTTGCCTGGGAGGCCTACAATAGTGGAAACCCTCCCCTCCGGGTTTCCTGCCTGCTAGGCCTAAAGGGAGAGAACCAGCTGTGGCCTGAGGCCGCTGAGAGACAGTGAACTGTGTCCTCCAAGTGGTGGCCCGCTGGGGGAGGGGCCTCTCCGTGCTTGTTACCCCCTGTGTTTTCGAATTGAGCGGAGGATGAAAAACCAGGGCCTCCCTAAAGCCTGGTATCAGTCCCCTCTCCCTCTCTGCCTTCAAGTTAACCACCCCGACACCCGTTTAGAAGGCTTCAGAAAAAAAAGATTGAAGAAATTGGTGAGGGTGGGGATGAGGTGTGTAGTGGGTGGGGAGCCTAGGTGAGGATAGGGGAGAGTCTGTGCACATGAGGTGGTGGTAAGCATGTGTTCCCCTAATCCGGAAAGAGGACTAGACACAACCCATCAGTGAAGATGGCTTGTCCAGCCCCTACTCACTCAACCCTGTCCAGATACGGGGTCTTTTGCATTTTTCTGAGAAGTGCTGCCATCTGGTGGCCAGAATGCGCCAAAGGTGTGGCCACCATCCCATAGCATTTCCCTTAAAATTCCTTAGATCCCAGATACTGGTTTCTAAACACTATTCCTCTCTAAAAGCAGGACTCAGGGATTCTTGGAGAATTGGCTGATTCCAGGACTGAGGCCAAGAAAGTACAAGGTGAACCTGGAGTATCTTGTGCCCAAAACTCACAAAATGATGAGAACATGTGAAAGACCACAGGAACCAAATTGGGGAAAAATGTATATCAAAGTGAATGAGAACAATACAGACTATTGAATAAAATAAGAATCCATGAGCATCCATACTGATGATAAATACATGCATAAAATCTCATAAATGGGAAACTTCCTTACAGTGGAAGGTCAAGTAATTAATCTTAGGAGGAATGACAGATTTAGAAAATAACCATTTGCAATCACAGTAGTAACAAATCCAGGCAAGAATTATCAGTGTATGTTAAAAACTTAGTTGATGGCATGATGGAGATGTTAGCTAACTGAGGTTGGAATTATTTTGCAATATATGCATATCAAATCAACATGTATACATCTTGAATTTGCACATTGTCAATTATATCTTGATAAAGCTGGGGAAAAAAGTTCTGGAGATGGATGCACATCAGTATGAATGTACTGAATGCCACTGAACTTAAAAATGGTTGAAATGGTAAATTTTCTGTTAAGTATATTTTACCAAATAAAAATAGTAAAAAGAACAAAATGAAACTAGCTGATGGATGTTTGAATACATAGTTTCAAAGTTTCTCCCTAAAGATTCTTTAATTACAGAGGAGTAAGTGGTTACTTTAGCTGGATAAATCAGCAGATACCACTAGCCACATGGTCAAAGTTAACTAACCACTAGTGGAATAAGTCTCCCATTAGTGGGATAAACTGACATCATATGCCCCCTACTGTGAGGGGCTGATGCTCAGTGTTTAGAAAAAAGTATGCATATGTGTATGTATACATGTATGTGTATATATACTTGTGTGTATGTATATATATGTGTGTGTGTCACCCAAATGGGGAAAAAATTTGATTTCTACTTCATAAAAAAAAATAAAAAAAAAAAGATCACCCTGGCTTCTCTTTGGAGATGTGAAAGGAGGTGGGAGAGCAGGGGTGGGGTGTAGCAAGGCAGGGAGACTTATTTGGAGACCATTGCATTCATTATGGCAAGAAAAGACAAATTAGAACAAGGTAGTAGCAGTGGGGATAGAAAGAAGTAGGTAGGTAGATTCCAGGTATTATTTGAAGGAAGAGATGAAGGAATATATTAATTATTGGATATAAGATATGAGACAATTTCCAGGTTTCACACACACAAAAAGAACTATTGTGTACTCCCCAAAATATTACTTTGCTCAGGTTTTCAGCTTTTGAATTGGTTGAAATTTGACAAATTCTTCATATATACACTTTCTCTTTGAGGATATAATGGAACAGTAGACTTTTTTTCACTTATTTTTCTCTTCAATTCTCTCCTCTCTCCCATTCCCCTCCCCAGAAGCTATACACATTTAATATATTTGTGTCTTCAAACATGCTTATACCGTGCTACATTCACAGCATTATTTTGAGTGTCTTTGAATTTCTATTTACTGAAAGGTATTGACTTAAAGATCTCATTTTGTTTCTTATTTTTTTACTCAACACTATGTTTTTAGGACCTATTCATGTTGTTGTTTATATATCTAGTTCATAGCTTTTGTTTATTGTATAGTATTCTACAGAATCTATAACCTTACTGATGAAAATCTAGGTTATCTGCAAATTCATGCTATTATAATATCACTTCTGGGAATATTCTCATACAGATTACATTATAGATCTCTTTGTGGGTATCTCTGGAATAAGTTAACTGTAGCTTTCTATTCAAATCCTCTACTTTTTTTATTTTAGGAGTTCCTCATTATTCTGGATACTAATCCCTGTCAGTTTCAGACATTTATTTCCAGTCTGTTACCCATTTGTTAACTTTATAGTTTGCTTTATTTGAGCTAAAATCTTTCATTTTCATGTGGTCAAATGATCATTATCTTTTTAAAATCCTTAAAGTGTGCAGAGTTCAGAAGAATCTCAAGAAAAGACTTAGACACAAGGTAGAAATATGACACTTAAGGAAAAGAGCATGTTTAACACTGGCAGATTGCATTTCTGAGAGCATGGGGTATGATGTGAAAATCATCAGTGTTGTAAGTTTCATCCACTTACGGAGCTACATTACCCCTTCACATCTTTCTCCCCCTGCACCCTTTCTCCCTCAAGAGGTCATATGCTCCTCTCTCTTCTTTGCACACTGTAATTGAGGGAACTTCTGCATTTAGCACACTCTAAATAAGACCTTTATATAAATTCCAGATTCACATCTTCAACTGTCGGTATTTTGATAGGGATTGCCTGATGTAGGGTGCGGCAGAAATGCCATTTCCCCTGCCTATCCTTTCTTCTCCCTTCTGCTAACTAACAGAATAGACTAATAAGAGCAAATAATGACATACCACTAATTATGTGACAGACGTTTTTCTTGTGCTTTACAAATAGGAATTCTTTTAAACCTTATAAGAACCCTATGTGGTAGCAATCTTATTATGATTATTCCCATTTTACCAATGAGAAAACTGAGGATCAGAGAAAATGAGATACAGGCCCCAGATCATATAACTAGTAAGTGATAAGAGTCCAGATACACCTTTTACCTGTGGGGAACCTAATCCATGTTTGGGAGTGGAAATGACACCATCATACACCCACTCCACAGGGTAAGATGCCAATGCCTGGCATATGACTGGGTTTCGGATGGGCATGTGATCCAAACTGGGCCAAAGTCTTTCAGGCCTGGGGAAATGTTTTATTTCTGCTGATGATGCCAAGGTAGAGTGTGTGAGTCCTAGGGACCATGTGTTCCCCACATAAAAGAATCTCACAAGAAACAGATTTGCACCTGATGACATCAATTGAGATCCTTCAGCTGGCTATAATAGAAGCCTAGAAGCCAGTACGAACCTGGACTTTTTAGTATTGTGAGTCAATTAATTTCCTCTTTTGCTTAACCTAGTTCTGACCACTGTGAACGGCCTACGAACCCCTTTGTCAGATTTCTGGCTGCTATCATCATTTAGAGGGGCTTTGTCCAATGGGGGAAATTCCCACATGATCAATTCAACTTTGTCAATGTGCAGATTTCCTCCATTGTCCCTCAGGTGAATTCAGAATCCAAGTTCCCAGCCTCCCCATCAGCTAGGATGCAAGCATGTGACCCAGGCTGTGGCAATGGGCTGTCTATCCACACACAGGATCCCACGTGTGCACGAGTTTCCATCTCCTCCAGCACAGGAGCAGCCATGTGCCTGGCTCTCACACAGCCTGTACCAGTTCTCAGTGCAGAAGCAGCTTTGGTGCGAGAGGAGTGGCAGCTGCAGTAAAGTCAAGTGCCTTCCATTTCCTGCTCAGCAGCGGCAGTGATGGGACAGTGGCAACCTTATCAGGGCAGTCTGTGATATGGGTTGGGGTATTGTTCGTGAGAGTTTAGCCTTGAATCTGTTCCTCCAGATCTCCTAACAGTTCTGGGCAGTGATCAAT